TGGCAGCTTACAACACCAAACTGGAAAATGCCTTCCCGGACGAGAAAACGTGCGTTCATCTGGCCACATCAGGTGGTTGTGCTCTCTATAAGGACTATCTCTATGTTGCTGCTACCAGGCCTCCACGAGTCCAGGTCTTCCGCTTGAACACTAACGAGGTCCTCTCGAGGATTGATTTTATCAATGTTGTGAAATACGGGGATCTGGGACTCGATCGACTGTCGTTTGGTGAACCCTTTGGCGTGCAAGTGGACACCTTTGGAATCCTAGTGGTGTCTGATTCCAAGGCCGGCTTCTTTCACGTTTATAATATTAACAAGAGGGCGCCAGGGCCCCTGGCGCCCTCATTGGAGCACGGATCAACCTGCTTCATGGGTTCCTGGAAGATCGACGCCTACCAACCAATTCGGCCCGGCCACTTTTCTCTCTCTAAAAATGGATGCGCTTGTGTAGTAGACAGATGGAACAATAAGCTACATGTGATAGCAGATCAGACAGAATTAAGGTGGTACGACGATACCTTTGGTATTGTCGAGGACGTGCCGTTCGATCGTGTACTTATCGATCCCCTGATGGCCTACAACGGATTACCTGAACCACCGGGAGCAAATCCGGAGAAAATGGGTCTGAGTCGTAGGGTCAGCGCATTATCAGAGCCACTGCCTGAGGAAGTACTTTTACCGGAAAGCTGGATCGCCAGATACAAACGACCAGGCGTACCCAAGCCAGAGCCGACAAGTAAATCACCAAAAGACAAATCAAAGAGTAAATCGAAGGGCTCCAAAGGAAAGAAAAAGAGTTCAGGAAAGGGAAAAGGAAAGAAGTAATGCACGCTGATGGTTGATGCACAATTTTGGAGGAGAGAGAGACATAAGTCGAAATTTTTATGCTTCTATCCTGACGCTTCAGTAGGTATTAACCTTTTTTACATGCGGTTTGCGATTTTAGAATTTTTCACCCTAGATTTCATGCTCCTATTGATCATTGCCTATTGACTGTTAAAAGTCGCACAGGAAAACTGTTATCTTACTATTTTTAGAAGGGACGATTGATTAGAGTTAACCCAAAAGTAAAGTTTCGATTTCATACCCCCTGTATTTACTTGCATTACAAATAGTTCCATTTAAGGTAAGAGAACTGGTCAAAACAGGAAAAGCCACAGGGCGACCCTAGCCATTACGACCGTCAAGGTCGGTTCCGAATAGAAAGAGGGGAAGTGGGACACCGGTTGGGAGGATACGGCATTCTATGCAAAAGGATTGGAATTCGGTAGCCAAAGACCAGCGCATGTCTGACGTCAACAGCGCCGGTGGCGTAAATGGCAGTAAGGCATGCATTACCGTGTTATAAGCGATAGCATGTCTAAGTCGGCCTTGACGTTGATTGGCCGGATAAGATAGCCAATGATTGACTGAGAACCCGACTGCGCGTGCAAGTACGCGCGAGAAGCCATGCTCTAACGGGCGCGCAGAGGAATATAATGACCACCTTTCAGAACTGGGGAAGACTACTTAAAAATGCAAAAAGTTTGGTACCAACGCATGAACACAACCACGGTGAGAGCCATGACAATACTCGACAACACAACATTCGGGTACGAAACACAACGGCCAGAGCTGATATTCAAAAGGTGTGAAGCTCAAACGGACTTTCACAGGACAGGGAAAAAGCTGACGAGATTAATCGGAGATGAACAAAGGCCTCCATCTCTGGCACTGTACCGGTCATGAAAAATCGGTTTGCCGGCAGTGAACTAGTCTACGACTTCATCAACTCGGTCATCAGACTTGCCGGACTCTACCAGTGGGTTTGGCTTATTTTAGTCGCTAGTAAACCTTATAGCCCTATCTGCTTTGATAGTTAAAGTGCTAAAAAACAGTCCATTTCACGAGCTCCGGCATAAACTGAAGTCCAAATTTCGGAGTGAAAAAAAGTGTCAATACAAGCGAACATGCGTGTCCCAGGAAGCAATTGAGAAGAAGAAGA